AGAGAGAGAGAGAGAGAGAGAGAGAGAGAGAGAGAGATGTCTTGAAATTCTTTACAAATTTAATGGCAACACCAATAAAAATAACAGATCATTATAAAAATGGGAAATGCCTTTTCATTTGGACAAATTAATTTCTAATTAATACTAAACAATTATTATGATTACATCCGATTCAATGAATCAAAGAGTGCGTTAAACATTAGGTGTTTTATTATATGATTTATAGGAATAGTGGGCAACAGAGACAACACAATGAACCGACAGTACGTCTCGTCGCGATCTAACACAAGAGCTACCAATAGAATCACATTTAAAGCCGACACTCAATGCGAGTTCATTAATAATTCAGTCGGCATTATGTGATCGCTTCACACCATTTCATAATTAATAATATCGTTTCAATTATCAATAATTGATGTAACAAACTTGTTAAAAGTTTTAAAACATGTTTGTTTTGGATCTCAGATCCAGATTGTCGTTGAAGGTAACACTGAAGATACACTGTATATCATTGGATACATGTTTGTAAATATTGTAAAGCCCTTTATATATTGAATTGAAGTTTTTATCTCAATAATGACAAAGAATTGTAGATTATTTTAAATATAATGTTGTCATCAAAGAATATGTAGGAAAATAAAATACTCTTTATCTAAATACTTTTAAAAATATAAATTACTTTATTATAAAATTTATAATATAAATCTTAAATATATACTAAAAATATTAACATTATATCAAATCTATTAATGTTGTCAAGTGTTGAACCCATTGATACCTTTAAGTTTTATTCCAGAAATAAAGTTAAACAATAATTTTGCTATTTGTCAGATTGAATTTTTTGCTATTAATAGATATATTTATGAAATAAAGTTGTAAAATACAATAAATTATGATTATATAAATAAAATTTTATTTAACTAAATGTTTGAATAACACGAATGTATGAGCATCAAATCATAAAAGTAGTTTATTAAATATCTTGGACCATAAATTACACAAATAAATTTAAACAACTATTTAACTTTAAACAGAATATTCTTTAATATCAAAATACAGTTTATTTTAAAAATTGTGTAAAATTCCTGAACTAAAAAGTTTTATTTAAAAAAGTAAATTTTAAATGCTAGAATCCTTAATAATTATTTTATAATTATATTATTGATACAGTACAAGATAAATATAAATGTTAAACAAATTAAAATATCTATACATTACTTGCAAAATATATTTAAGTGTTCAATGATTGTAATATTTTATTCAAATTTGTAATAAATATTTGTCAAATACTGTTCCAGAATCTGTATAATTTATATCATAATAATAATCA